ACTATAATAATTAGCTTCAACTGAACTATTAGGAACTCGTACTAAAGTGTTCAGGTGATGTACAGCTGATTGAGAGGTTGTTAACTTTGAGTCTAGTGGTGTTGCCACTGTGGCCAAGAGTGAGTCATCTTCATAAGTACAAGATGTCAGATGACGTCCCGGTCCAATACTTGAATCATAAATTCTTGTTATTTCAGATCGCAGGCCAGGCCATTCTGGAGTACTCACGGGAAAGCTTCGGTTGGGTCTGAGTACAGACGATGAAACAAGGGCCATTACCTCAGGGCAGGGGAAAAGTCAACGCCAATAGTGATAGTAGATAAATGCAAACTCCCTTAAATTTTAAATATTTCACAAAATATGAGCTGTCACAATGCTTTCAAATTAAAAAACACTTCAAAGGCTTTTCACACTTAAGAAATTTACGCACTTGACAAACACAATTATTTAGAGCTAGTATTAGTGCACATTCGAATTGAATAGGCTCTCTGAGTCTGAGTCACATTCTTTTAAATTGAGAGGTTCCGATAGAAAAGTTGTTAAAAATGCAAACGGGAAAATGTAGATTGAATTTCAAATTGCAATAATAAAACACTTTATTTTGCCCTGAGCTCAGCTCTACTTAATATTTAGAGATGAAAGTGTGTGAATAAATCTATATACCCACCGCTTGCACCACATATTAGCAATCTGTAACTGTAACTATAAATAATTCTATTGCGGGATCTCCTCGTTTATTTTTAGATACTTACACATGTTATATTTTTAGATCTCTGGTTTTCATTGGTAGAAGAAGCTGTGTCTCGATCATTGTGATTAAAGCGGGCTGTTTCTGAACTTGGGGTGAAAATAAGGGTGGTGGGGAACGCTTTAAAGATCGTAAATTAGTTATTGGCCTACCCAACAGTAAAATATTTACCGAGTTTTTTGTTGTTTTTAAATTATTATTTTAAAAAAAATATCTTCGCTAGATATTTAAGCCTTTCGATATTCAGTTTCAAACAAATAAAATCATTTTTTTTTCTAACGGCAGTTTGTTCAAAATAAAATTTGGTAAATGCTTATTAATTAAAGAATGTTTTTTTTTTAAAATGGAATGTGCGAGTGAGAAAGGGGAAAATGTAAACTTTTTAATACAATATATTTTTGTTGGCTTTTCCCCATGATTTCATTTCCAATAAATTCTATTCGAACAGAATTAACACGTTTTTAGTAGTTTAACTTTAACAAATTAATTTATTTATTTAAGGTAATTTTTTTAAAATGTTGAACTGAAAAGTTAAATTTGAAATCAATTGTACTGAAATGTGATGTCAAATAATAATGTTTCTTGTCATTCTTATTCTTGACATTAGAAAAAAAATATTTCACATTAATATATTAACATTTATTACATCATAATTTATATATCAGAAGATATTTAACATTTTTACTTGTTTGGCAAAAAAATAAAAATAATAATCAACAGTCACAGCTTTTTAATTTTCTAATAACCATTGCATTTCTTGTTTCAGGTTTTTTTGAAATTTTTGTGCTAAACTGCCAAACTGCTAGTTACTGGAATATGTGATTAACAAAAAATTGAGTATTACGAGGTAGTGTAAGTGTAAAACTAAAATTAGAGTTAAAGTCAAAATCCTTTTGAGTTTTTTTTTTTTTTTTAATGTTTGAAGATAAATTTAAATCCAATACGATTTGTGAGACGATCAGATTAATTTCAGGTAGCAATCAGTAATTTTAGTTATCATTAACTAATTTAACAGCAGGCGGAAAAAAGTAAAAAAGTTGTCGGTTGGTTTAATAATAAAGTGTAGTCGTAGTCTAGTTACTAGTCTAGTAACATTAGTCATTAGTATTAGACTTAGACATTAGACATTAGTAACAATAATAATTAATAATAAATAAATAACAAATGAACATTTTATTCCTAGCCGAATGTGAATAACCACTCTGTAAAATTAATTTTACATTAATATTAAAATTATGTAAATTGTACCTCTAGAACTCTAGGTCCATGGTAATAGTCTAATAGTGTCATAGTCATAGTAATAGTATGTTGACTGTTGCTGTGGTATCCAGAATTGCACAAGTATTTATTAAAATATTATATTATATGAGACAAGAATGACAATGTCTGCAATAATAGTGGTGAAAACTCAGTTCAGAAAAGACTTGCAACTTGCTACAATGGCACTTAGTCTTAGGCATATCCAGAATTCTTACATGTGCAAGTTAATATGGCATTGACAATTGACAGATTAAAATTAAAGTCAACAGTCAACAGTGTTTGAAGTCTTTACACCATTCTTGCAGAGAGACATTATATTATTATAGGCCGGCACTACGTACACCGCGGCGGTGTACCTAGCGAAACTATTGAATTTGGCCTGCGTACACCGCGGCGGTGTACCTAGCTAAATCATGGTCTGTGGCCTGCGTACACCGCAGCGATTTACAGTAGCCAAACTATGGTCTTTGCGAGTCTTTAACTTTTTGGCCTAACCGGTACTTGTAGATTTAATGTTATACTCGTGTTAAAACTGAAAACTATTAAAAATTCGTTTATTACCTTGGGAAGATATTGAGTAAGGTCTACGCGTATGTGGCAAAGTGCATGTAAAGCATTTCTTATTATTTTTGGAAGGGAAGGGGCTGGGGGGGGGTGTAATGTTAAACCATGATTTATTTTTAAAGTTAACCACTTTATTCCCCCCTCCCCCAATATCTTGAAATACAAATATATTTATTAATTGTAAGTTTTATCATATGATTGTGAATCTTATGACGTCCTTTGTGGACAACCCCTATCCTGAGCCGTGATTTGTGAATGCCCTCTTTTTGGTTAAGCCTCTGCCCATAACTCACCACCACCCCCCACTCCCCGGCAAGGATCGATTTCTTAAAAAAAAACAACAACAACAAATACAAAAACTTTGACATAGTGCAAATCCTGTCCCAGGCGCATTGTGCAATGGTTTCTGTGAGAAAACGTCGTGTTTTACCCTGAGAATAGCACATGCCATGCCATTCTGGAAACAAATTACGTCATGAAAAGGGTAAACGCAGACCTATGGCTTTGCTATACAGTTTGCTACCGCTCCGCAAGTTTCTAAAATCGAGGTGTTTTCAAAAGATTTGCTGTGAGACTGAGTGTTGTGAATGAACCTTTGATATCGTATGTACATTTTGCCAATGCATAAGGCATAGTGAAAGCAAGATGGTTCAAGGTTGAAATACGACCATGCACATTAATATTCATATGCATGAATATTAGGGAAGCGTTATACACAGTCGGCTGCGTATAACCCTGAGAGTTATACGCAGTCGACTGCGCATAACCCTGAGGGTTATTCACAGCCGACTGTGTATAACTCTCAGGGTTATACGCAGTCGGCTAGGAATTTAGCCAAATAAGGTTTATCAATCGCTAGTTTGGCAATTTTAAAAAAAAGTATTATGCGTGATTAGCTGCATGATGGGTTGTTTTGAACTAGAACTTTGCATGTGTTTAATGTAAAATTTTAATAGAATTAATTTTAATTAATATTGAAATTGATGATAGCAATAATATTAGTATTAGTGCTATTATTAGTATTATTGCTTGTATCTTATATATTATAATTATAAGTATAAGTCAAAGTCTACATTTTCTTAGAGTCTAAGCCTAAGTCTTAGATTTTTTTTAAAGGCATTTCCATGGTCTAAGTCTAGTTATGTATTTTGATTGATTAGGTTTTTATATGTTGCTATGACTATGTGGTAAGTTTTACTGACTAATTCAGGAAATACATTCTATTTATCTTTTTTTAAATTTTATCATTTATGATTTTTTTTTTTTGATGACCTAAATGTAACAGTTTTCAGCTTCCATGCAAAACTATAACTGTGTGAAAGTATTACTTACACTGACCCCTCTACAGAACCCCCTGCCCCTACAGCGATTTTTTTCCTGCTACTCTCAACCCATGATTATTTTTATTACTGTACCAGTGAAACATGATTTTATCTGCCACAAAATTAGTTAACAACACAAACATATATTTGATAATTATAAGTATAACATTATTAACATTACATTGGTCAAGTTAATAATTCTTCTCATGTTTTAACATTTTTTAGCCAAAAAAAAAGTATAACAAATAAGCCTAGTTATTGCTTCATTCTCGAGAAAAAGCATAGCAACTAACGTGTATTGATGGCTTGCCGTTGGCTGGAATTGAACTCCAGACCATCAACTTGATGGTTTGGTCAGTTTAGACCATTCGACCACCCAGTCACCCCGATAGCAAGGCCCCCTTATTGATTGATTCTGTAACACAGGAAGAATATAGACGTCACGTGACTTGCCGACTGCGTATAACTCTCAGGGTTATACGCAGTCGGCTGCGCATAACCACTTCGTGAATATTATTCATACTGGTATTTTCTTTGGTTGTTCGTAAAAGTAAAATGTAAATATTCAACTATACGAAGAATGTTGAAATACAATAGAATATCAGTCACTTAGTATTCATAATGTTTCTGTTATATATGATCATCATGTATTACATGCGCTTTCAGAAACTTTAAGTTTGTTTTCAAATGTCTAAAGTCTTATTACTAAAGTTACCGGTATTTTCAAAGTCAAAGGCCGGCACAACTTGTTGAAACACTTATATAAATAAATAAATATATAATGTGTATTTAATATAATATTTAAACATATATTTAAATTGTTTCAATTGCTACAAAATATTTTAAAACTAAAATGGGAGGAAAAAAACTCGATCCCCTACTGAGAATTCATCTCAAACTATATTATCGCCAAGCGTCCACTCTACCACTTGACCACACAAGATCTTCTCCTACAAGTATATCTTAAAACCAGGCCAATGGTAAATTTTTGCCGCGGTGTACCCAGGCCAAAGCCCACGATTTCACTAGGTACACCGCCGCGGTTTACGCAGGCCAAAGCCCACGATTTCACTAGGTACACCGCCGCGGTTTACGCAGGCCAAAGCCGATGGTTTCGCTAGGTACACCGCCGCGGTGTATGCATCCACTTCGATTATTATATGCCATTCTGGCCACCACGGTAATTTAATTAATTTAATTTTTTTTTTTTTGCAGTTGATTAAAATGAAAGAAAAAATCTTTATATTGGTTCAAAAAGCATCTAAAAAATCCTGGGTTTAAAAAAACTTTTATATTATTTTGAAATTTAGTCATTGTTAATAACTAAATGCTTCTCTCTAATGAAATGTATGACTTTTTATTTTATCTTTTCAGAGCTTATTATCTGTTTTATTATTAAAAGCAATGGAAGATCTAGATGTAAGAGAGAACCTAAGACATCCAATTGTAAGTTTGCTAACTTGATGTTTAGTGTAGGAGTGAGACTAGTGGCGTAGGGAGTGCTGTGTAAGGGGGGGGGGGCGGTCCGTCCTAGCAGCACTTGTTTTCTTTATAACGATGGGTGGCATTTCCTGGATGGAGGGGGGTGGTAAAATAATATTGGCCTGCCCGAGGCAGCGCTAAACCTTACTATGCCACTAAGTGAGTGTAGGGGGTGGTGGGTGAGGGGGGGGGGGCGGTCCGTCCTAGCAGCACTTGTTTTCTTTATAACGATGGGTGGCATTTCATGGATGGAGGGGGGTGGTAAAATAATATTGGCCTGCCCGAGGCAGCGCTAAACCTTACTATGCCACTAAGTGAGTATCTGTTTTTTTAATTACTATATTACAATAACGATTTCTTCATTTAACAGTTTTTTAAAGAATTTATGGTTCAGAGTTGAAGATTCATGGTATTTCCTTTGTTTATATTTCCTGTCAGTTTAAAAACCCACCCCCTTTCCCCTTCCTTTTCTGTTATGAGACCTTAAAAAGGTTAAATTAAGGTTATCTAGATATTTGATTTGCTACATCATATTCATTACACATTTTATTTATTATTATCGTGACATTTGTTTGAAAGATCATATTATTGTTTCATTAAATCTTATCTTATAATTCCTAATAGCAGTATATTAAGATTTATACTATGTCTCTTTGCAGCTTGATGACTTTGTTTTGCAGTATCCAAACTGTGATGAAGACGCTGCACTTAAAGCATTCTTAATTTATCAAGACTTGACAGAGGGTATACTCATGGATTTATTCATAGGCTTATGGATAAAATTTAAGACCACATTTTTGAATTTGCAAGTCAAATCATTAGTTGTTGTGTCAATTCAGATAAGGAAGGATTTGATTTATTTTCCTGAAAGAATTCATAGACTAAAGTTAAGCATTTGTTTTTAGTAATTTGACATATTTTGTTCCAGTTCAAGGTGAAAATAATATTGTGTTATCTTTTAGGGAAAGTGGATGAACATTTTTTAGCCTGGTCACTAAAACCAGCTTTAACACAGGTGTTATGGCATATGTGTAGGCCTAATTTTAGCGACCACAGCTTATCTCCCCCTTATTTGTGTTCTTCTTATATTTGAGGTGCCCACGATCAATTTGTTGATCATTCTGGCTCCTGGTTTAAATTCAGAGTTTGCCTTCTCTTAGATGGGTTGCCGTCCAAGGCTAGCGAGTCCCATCTACCCGGGGTGCTTGGGATGATTTGCTTTTGGTGGGGATTGAACTCCCGACCACCAGCTGTTTGGTTTGAGACCGTTTAGACCGCTCGGCCACCCAGCACCCAATTTTTGGGTTGATTTTGGTGTCACTAGATAAATGTACTGTGTCATTCCTTACCTATCCCAGCTTTGATTAGGAAAAGGTTTTTTTACGTTCGAATGAGTTCTATTTGTTATAAACAATGCTATTAGGTGACACAATTTCTAGAATTTCTTTACTTAATTGTTCTGATTTAATCCCTTTATAAAGGCCAGCAGGTTTTAGCAGAGTGAGAGAGAGATAGATTTTGCCATATTTCCTAACATATGCCAGATGTTATTTAATTGTGTGTGCATAAATTAATATATATATTTTTAGGAGTGTACCTTTTCACTTGCTGTGCTGTAAGTTGATGTATTTTTTGGTTTCTGTATTTTAACTTGCATTTTTATAGAACTATAATAGTATAGTAAAATTGAAAATTGTAAGTATCACTAGTTTTGGTATCGTTTTCTTTGCATACATTTTTTCTCAATCCTATGTTACATATTGTTCATTCTATGAGTTAAATCTTAAAACAGATTAAATTTTCAAAACTGTAACGGTACGTAGCACAGGAATGTATAAGGTATTCTTGAGAAATAACCAATGTTCAACACTGACAGATTTGTTTAATTTCAGTAAAAGGCTGGTGGTTTACTGAGCTTGCCTATAGTGAGATATTGGACAGACCATATGTACTTGGACAAGTTACTCGATATGAACAGAGGCAAGCAGTATTTCCTGTTGGAGTTGATGAACGGTTATCTCTAAATGAGTTTCAGCAATACTTTTCTCGCATATTTGTTGATGAGGAGCCCATTGACAGGTAAAATAAAGTTTCAAGAAATTTCTTGTCATTCAAAACGCTGAAGTAAATTGGGATAATTTGGGGCTCATCATGCCATTTTTAATAGTATGAACAGATCACATTTTCTGTCTAGTTATTTGTGAATATTTATTAGCAGAACTAATTAACATTTTCAATGCAGACGCAGAACATACTTTTTAAAATAAACTGAGATAACTAAGGTTTTAATAAGAGCAATATTTTTTGTTCATAAGTCAGTTCTAATGATAGCAGTTTTTATTTTATAATAACTAATGCACATGTTGGAAACACATTTTTCACTTGTTAAATTGGTAAAATGTTCTTCATACCACTTGAATTTTTAAAAGAAGCAATTATAAGAGTGTTGGGATGCCATAAAGCTTTCAAGTAGATCAATTAGACACAAACATTTAGTGTAAACAATACAAATCTTAGTTTAGCTTTAATAATGATCATACAGAAAACAAAGTTAAATGTTTCTGCAAATGCCTTCATCAATACCAAAAAACAAAAAATTCATATAAGTTTAAATTAAATTTACATAATATATGTATTTTACCTAAAAATGGGAGAAAAGAATAAGAGTGGACGCAAGTCCCTGACAAAAATAAAGTGGAGAAGAATGGAAAGGAAGTGAGTGGAAGTAAAATTTAAAAACCAAACAGGAAAAAGACGTTGCAGCGATGTAAAATTGTGAATTTGGTTTATAATGTATGGAGTCAACGCATTAAATTTTGGTATTAAATTATTACCTTATAAATTCTATCCAGTGTATTACTTGCATATACCAGTAACTGTAATGTCCAAAAATCAACTACAATTATTTGGTTTTCCTCCAACAGTTTTATCCTTGCTGTAAATGAGTTGGACACCACAGTGGTGTACTACAAGATGACCGCAGGACTGGCGCCACCCGAACCACCAGAAACAGTGTTTGAACAACGAGCAGAGAGAAATAGACAGATGAACAGGAAAAGAGTGCATGTGGCCTCCTGTGTGAGACAAGCACGGGAAAGGTTGACCAAAGATGGTGCATCATAAGACAATGTGAATTTGATTCCGTTGAGGTATACTTTGTAAACATTGTAAACAAGTGCAATCAATTAACTTGTAAATAATGATAAACATATGAAAAAAGTTACTCAGATTTTTCTGAAAGTCTCAGAATGTTTTGCCATCAATACTATTGTCTCTGTGGCTTGGGGATGTGGTAGAGAATTGGCAATGGAACAAGTTGATTAATAACACAGATTAATTCACATTTAAAGGGAAATAACCCAATCCTGGCTAAACCGTGGTTCAAATAACTTTCCCCATCCAAGAACTGGGCTAAACATGCTCACTGACATTAGCAGGTAAATTTCGAGAAGTCAAACAGCTGAAAAAACTAGCCTCCAATCTCAGTCAGGAGATTGGATCTCCTGAGACTGAGAGCACACTTATCAGTCCCGGCTCATATTGATAGTGTGAAATTATATCAATTAATATAACATTAATATATAATAGTTGAAACAGGATAAAATGAAAAGCAAATTATCATGAAAGATTATATTTTAATTGCCTGAAAACTTTTTTTGATTAAATATGAAATAAAAAATTATTCCAGTCTTGTACTTGTTGTCTGCAGATATTTTTAGTGTCCTCAATTTTTAAAATGACCAGCCAGGAGTCAACTACATGTTAATGTTGATCTTTACAGATTTGATATATGTTATTGTTAGCGTATTACCAAAAGTGCTATCAACCTATATATACATTGAACAATGATAAGCTACCTCAAAGGTGCTGCCCCTCCATAAGGACACGATGCATCAGTTTTATGTTATATTTGATGTGACTCCAAAAAGGTTTAGTGTGAGAAAAAAGCTTTGACTCGATTGCAAAACTGGGTTGAGTGTAGCCGAGAGAATCATATCTTCAGTAAAAAAAAAAAGGGCTTGACCCCCATAGCATGAAAAGACTAGATCCAGCAGCCTGCAAGGAGGAACCACTATCTGGTCAACGGGCAAAACAGTGGATCCAGCAACAAGACAAGAATCACTCAGAGCATGGCCCTGGTCATTCACTGCACCCAGCTGCCTTGACCTTGTCTGGGTGCTGGATCCAGGTGGCATTTGGGCAAGAGAGTGGGGTTGATGACTCGCACAACTCTTCCTCACCTAAATCCAAGTCGTGCGCATGTCATTTCAGTCATCCATTTCATCCCAGTTTCTATTAAAAAGTCCTGTGGCGATGGAAAAGCTGGGAAGTGTCAGGTATGAGTACACTTCAACCGTAGTCGCAAACCTGCAAATATGGCTATGGCCATAGGGTTTTCATCACTGAAAAGGAGCAGCAGTGGTGTCTGGCAGAATAACTGAGCAGCCCTCTGTCAGTAACACACTGCTCACCTCCATGGCATGAGGAAGGGGCTAGGAAAGGTTCCCTAACCATTGTTTGCTCCAACCTTCCTATCCAATCTACCATAGTTGGAGGGGACTCTATGCATGCGAGCCAAATTTTTAAAATTCAATGATTCCAAAGCAAAAGATAAAAACACTCCCATTAAAACTCAGTGCGCTCTCTTCAGGACAAGGATGACATGGGAAACATGACTCGGAGAACAGCCCTTATTGGAAATTAACTTGTCAGGTACAATGTAGACATTGCAGCCCTTGGCGAGACCCAGCTTGTCGCAGGGGCTCTTGGTATACCTTCTTTTGGAGTGGCAAAGGGATCAAGGAGCATCGTGATGCTGTTGTTGGTTTTGCTATGAAATCTGCAATGATTGGCATGATTGCAGGACTTCTGAAAAGAGTCAACAATTGGATAATGACAATGAAACTCTTTCTTTGATCTGGAATAAAACACCTCAACACCATCAGCTGGTATGCTCCAACCAACAAAGACCAAACCAGATGAAGTAAAGCAAAGACCAAACCAGATGAAATAAAGCAAAGACCAAACCAGATGAAGTAAAGCAAAGACCAAACCAGATGAAGTAAAGCAAAGACCAAACCAGATGAAGTAAAGCAAAGACCAAACCAGATGAAGTAAAGCAAAGACCAAACCAGATGAAGTAAAGCAAAGACCAAACCAGATGAAGTAAAGCAAAGACCAAACCAGATGAAGTAAAGCAAAGACCAAATTCTATGAGGCTCTTCATTCTGTCATAGCTGGTGTTCCAAGGCAGGACAAGCTTATAATTATTGGTGAATTGGTCGAGTGGGCCACGACCATATTACTCTGGATGGGTTTCTAGGAAAGTATGGAGTGGGCCATTGCAACAGTAATGATTTTCATCATCATCTTCTTATCATCACCTAGCTCAACATTCACATATAATCCAAAAGACGACCACAGTGGAGAGAAGACCCCTAAACTTCTGAACACCACAAAGCTGAAAAGTTCCAACATCAAGAAGTCTTTTGTGGATGGTCTGGAAGAAAGTATGGAATCCACATTTCTGGAAAATCACAATATTGAAACCAAATGAGCAGCACACACAACGATGTTGTTCAACACCTCTGTGGGGGTTTCTAGGACCAAGCTCCAAAAAACACCCAAGACTGATTTGATGAAAACTGTGTTGTAATCAAACTACTGCAGGAGGTAAAATACCATCTTCATCGCTCCTGACAGATCAATTCAAGGTTAGTTCCTTTGAGAGAGGCATACCATGACCTAGGAAAAACGGTGGGGCTAAAACTGACAATTGCAGGATGACTGTTTGAACAACAAGGCCGACGCCTTGATTCAGGGCCATGCGGGCAGACACGACCTGTAAAATTTCTACTCCGCTCTTAAAGAAGTCTTAGGGCCCTTCTTCATCAGGATCATCCCCACTACTGGGTGCTGATGAGGAAATCTAATTACTGGGAAGTAACAACAAAAAAATGTTAGAATGCTGGGTTGAACACCTTGACATCATCCTAAACCCCCCCCCCCCTTTTTCATCTCCGGGCACCAATCACTCAAGAAATGGTTCTCATGGGCCCATTATGTCTCTTAAGTATCTTTTCTTTATGTCTCTTTCTTATCTTTTCTGTCATTTAAAAAAAAAAATTAATGGGTTGGATATTAATATATTTTGTGAAATTTCCTTTCCTTCAACTACTTCAAGTTGATTGATGTACTGATAAAAGTTATTAAAAGTAATAGCCAAAACGTCTGGATTTGTATTTTGTTTATTGATAATTAAATCTTATAATATACATATAATGTTTTATTTACACAAATGTTGCAGCTACATTAAATGCAGCCTTGGAAAATGTGGAGGTGGGAGGGGGGATGGGGTGTCCGACGAATGTGCACAACTGCTCCTTGACACACTCCTCTCATTTTCTTCCTGCTCCTTGACACACTCCTCTCATTTTCCTCCTGCTCCTTGACACACTCCTCTCATTTTCTTCTCTTCCTAGTAACAAAATCACGCAATTCAGTGAATCTAACGATAAAGTCACGGTAGTGAGATTCCACGTGATTGCTATTTTTTATTTTTTAAATTTTATTTCCTGTTACTATCAAAGTCAAAGCGTATGTCAAATGGAATCGGATTGAAGTGAAATATTTTGTGAATTATATTTTTATATATTTTGTCCTAAATTATAATTATGGCGCTCCAAAATCCAATTTCTTCAGTCGCTCATCGGTGACATTGTGCACTCTTTAGATGAAGAGAGAGTTCTCGCACAGATGCAAATGAATTGTGTTTAGAATCAAATCATTCAAGCGATTCTGGTGATGACTCGGACATTAATGGTCCTTCTTCAATGACTCATAGTGACGTGGAGTGGTCAAACCAACTGTACGACGTCACGGAAAATATTGGCCAATTTTCTGAATATGTAGGGAGTCTTCTTGATCTCCAAATTGACAGCGTACCTAAGACTAAAGACCATTTAAAACTAAGACCATATCAAACTATTGACCATTTCAAATTATTGACTATTCCAGATGGAAAACTCGACTGGTTGTCTGATAATATCTTGAAAGTTTCTGCAGTGGCTGACGCCATAAGTCGAGACAGATAAGATTATGATTCACCGTTTTTTTCCACGTCCATGACAACTCTCTGCAACTCACAACACAAGTGAGAGTATGAGCCGAGGTGAGAACCTTTCTCAACTATATCTGACACATACGCCTGCCCCTGTACAAGCCTCAAATACAACCGAGTTTCAGTGAAACCATGGTCGGCTATAGGGAAAAATTTGTCTCCAAAAAGTACACAAAGTAAAGGATAAGCCGACCGCTTAGGTTTGAACATTTGGTGCTGAACTGAATCTAAGGGGGGGGGGGGGGGGGGGTGGTTTTA